AGAAAGTTTAAATTCTAGACCATTGAGCTAGTATCTAGTGGTGTACATGTCTAACTCCAACCAATCCACGAAATTGAGCGACCATTTTTTATTGACATGGTTAGGTATCTTCCTCAAATTTTAATTCCATTCCTGTTAGAAGAGATGTGGTCGTGTAGTGTCCAGTACTATTTCAGTCCCACATGGATTATTCTGGCTTCCGGACATACCAATTATTTCATTCTTCTTGAGTTACACTTTAACGCTGTCGGTTATTCCTATAATATTCGTGACTGTTTTTATATGGGCGCACGTGTTTGTGTCACTTACCCTATTGACCACATATCTTCTGCTTACATTTATCTGGCTATAAATATTGAGTCACGCTTTCTCAAATGGAGTCAGCAAATTAGCCTTCTATGCTTTGCTTTTCTTTCCCACTCCTCATTTCTAATTCCTGTCTAAATAAGTGAGTACCTAAAATAAATTTATCCAACTCAATTCGTATTTGGCTTCTTATTACCACCGTAGCACAAACAGCGTTATCCTAGGTGTGATAAGCGAAGTCAAGTAGATGGTTTATATTCATGGCGTATTCATTCGTTCTTCCTAATCAGAATTATATCAACGGCCTACAAGAGATGAAAACTCCTGAAGAGTGCTAAACTAGAACGAAACGTCTGTTCATTGATTTCAGGTTCTCGATTGTTTCACAACTTAAATCAGTTAGTGATCTCAATAACACAATCAAGTCGATGAATAACTTATTATTCCTTTGTATTTTGTATTATTGTTTGGTGCCAATAAACAAATAGATAGCAAAATTCTACCAAGTATACTGATCATTTTTAGTTCGTAATATAAACAATTAACTGTTTTTACCATCCTATCAATCATGATCTAATAAGTTTTATCTGATAAGCAATTCGTGGTCACAAATCAAATTAATTTTAATGAAATGGTTTCAATGCGTGTAATTTTGTAGCTTTCTTTATTATCATAACGTGTTAAATAAAACAAGAAACCTGTAGTTTATATCACTGATTGATAGCAGCACAACCATTTAGTTATTGTAAGAAGCCGTGTTAAGTGGATTGTAAGACAATGAAACTGAAACATGGTTGTTCATCACAATAACTTAATTGAACTAAGACATGTAAACAACTAGATCGTGGATCATAGCTGAAGTTCCCTGGTTCCATCGTAGAATCACATACTAGTACGAAAGAGCTTTACAGTGCTTAAGAAATTTTCAGCGGTTGTTTACATGAAGTCAGTTTATCATGTAAACTATAAAATGCAAGGAATTCCACGAACTCCCTTATTAAAAAAATGAATCAGTTTACACTATATCATCAAGAAACATTTGAGTAAATAGGTGTTTCGTTTAAAACGGACAACTAATATAAATTTATGAGTTTTAAGCTAATGATAAATTAGCACAGTGTCTCATTACAGTTCATTGTTTTTGGATGCTCAAATTCCACACTTGGTCATCAAGGTAACCAACCAGAATTATATCTGGAATAATCTATCTGAGGAGTTAAAGTATGGAACAAACGATAGTGATCTTTGAAATCTTTACAAACTACTCAACTTATTCAAAATCGTTGAAGATCTAGTAACAATTCTGCACCAAAGTAGCTTAAGCTCGAACTTATTTCTGATAACTCGATGTAATCAACAGAGAGCCGACAATCTAAGACTTATGTTTACTGAAATTCATAAACAGAGATTTTCGTAACCTTTAAGAAATCCGTACCAACCAACCGAGTCTTAACTAATAGGTACCGTAATATTACTCACCTTACACCAATAAAATCACGTAACCTACATTTTTTCTGAGCATAAACATTTTGCAGATTGATTATTTATACCTTTACAGTATTTTCATTGGATTATATCTCGGGAAAAACAGTGTCTAGTGACGTCATCCTTCAGCTGGTTTCAACTACCAAAACAGATTTTTGTTGGTTTATTTCTTGAAATAATTGGCATTTTAACATCACATACCCAGTTAGGCATGCCGCGTCAGGTTCTGAATTACTGATCTAAATGGATCGACGAATCATGTTCAGGCAGCTTACATTTTTTCTTTAAACATCTCGAAACAATAGTTAATGAATAAACGTTTGGTCACTCATAACATTTTCTAGTTTAATTCTATTGAAACCAGTACCACGAATCAAATCTGATAAATCCTTGACTGTCGTAATACCCATTCTAGTTATTTCAGCTGAAGCGAATTCCCCGTCTCACTTCATAATGTATCCTACTTGTCTAAACTAGACATAATTCACTCAATAGTCCCATTACTCACAAACAATGATCTTGTACTTATAACCTCAGCATGTCTTTTACTCTGAATGGTTACATCTCACGGCGCTAAAGTGGCAAAGATTAGAAGACGATTTACTTCACATAAAATTTTATCCAAGATGTGGATTCCAGAGGAAAGGGAAATGGATTGAGGTCGATTTTTATGTGTGTGGCTTTATAATGACCATGTACACTAATACATCTAAATGTTGAGGAAGTAAAGTACCAAAAAGTCTATACATTACTTACTTACGCCCGTTACTCCTAATGGAGCATAGGCCGCTGACCAGCATTAACCAACCCATTCTGTCATGGGCCTTCTTTTCTAGTTCCATCCAATTCTTGTTCATTTTTCTCATGTCTATCTCCATTTCCCGGAGTAATGTGTTTTTATTCTTCCTCTTCTCCTCCTCCTTTAACCTTGACGATTCCATGTGAGGCCTTGTCTTGTGACGCAGTTGGGTGCTTTCCTCAATGTGTGTCCTATACACTTCCAGCGCTTCTTCCTGATTTCTTCCTCCACTGGCATCTGGTTTGTTCTCTCCTACCGTGGGTTGTTGCTAATAGTGTCTGGCCAACGGATCTGAAGTATTTTGCGTAGACAACTGTTAATAAACACCTGTATTTTCTGGATGATGGCTTTTGTAGTTCTCCAGGTTTCTGCCCCATACAGTAGAACTATCTTCACATTTGTATTGAAAATTTTAGGTTTCGTGTTGGTTGACAGTTGCTTCGAGTTCCAGATGTTCCTCAGTTGTAAATATACTGCTCTTGCTTTTCCGATCCGCGCCTTCACATCTACATCAGATCCACCCTGTTCATTAAGGCAAATTAATTATCCTATAGTTCTACGTTTCCATAAGCAATCTACCTCATGTTGCTTTATAATGAAAATCATCTTCGGAAATCTTTCAAGAATTTTACAATGGAGACTTTGTAAACTAACAAAGATCCACAGAACTAATGAATTCAAAATAATTCTTTGTGTATAATCGTTCGCAGATATCTTTCTTATCCAAAGAGCTAACTCCATTGTTAGAAAGTAGTGTATTACTTTTAAAGTTAAATTTCAGATATACTTAATTTTAAACAGTAGCTGGTATAATGATATAGAGTCCTTAGGCTAATCAAATTTAACTGACTATGTTGCATTGTGGCGACTGGTCTAGTCTGTTAGACAGTAATGTGAACTATCTACTAATGGTAAGCAGATGAATATAGGTAACACTACACCAAGATTTTGTGCTACATGTCACCCGTTGTCCTGTAATATTTAAAGAATTTATTCATCCATAAGATTTCAAATACTCTTATTAACTCAGTAGTTAGTTTCGTAAGCTTGAAGAAGTTAATCTTCATTTTGGTTAGATCATTCAAAACTATATAGCACATGCTGGTATATAGAAGATTAATAATACATTTCAAGGTGCACCAGTAAGAATTCAAGGAAAGATGTTAGAAGTGAATAAGAAATACATTGAGGAAATCACTAAACTGCATCACCAAGTAATCCCTAACTTGTAATCCTGAAATGGAAACAGAAAAGAGGTAGGCCAAGGAAAACATTACGTCGAAAAACAGGAACAGATATGAAAAGGATGAATAACAACTGGAAAGAATGGAAATCACTACCTATGATAGTTTCGCATGAAGAATGTTGGTCAACAGCCTATGCACCTTGACAACAGGTAATAGTCATAAGTAAGTAAGTAAGTAAGTAAGTAAGTAAGTAAGTAAGTAAGTAAGTAAGTAAGTAAGTAAGTAAGTAAGTAAGTAAGTAAGTAAGTAAGTAAGTAAGTAAGTAAGTAAGTAAGTAAGTAAGTAAGTAAGTAAGTAAGTAAGTAAGTAAGTAAGTAAGTAAGTAAGTAAGTAAGTAAGTAAGTAAGTAAGTAAGTAAGTAAGTAAGTAAGTAAGTAAGTAAGTAAGTAAGTAAGTAAGTAAGTAAGTAAGTAAGTAAGTAAGTAAGTAAGTAAGTAAGTAAGTAAGTAAGTAAGTAAGTAAGTAAGTGTTGAAGTAAGTAAGTAAGTAAGTAAGTAAGTAAGTAAGTAAGTAAGTAAGTAAGTAAGTGTTGAAGTAAGTAAGTAAGTAAGTAAGTAAGTAAGTAAGTAAGTAAGTAAGTAAGTAAGTAAGTAAGTAAGTAAGTAAGTAAGTAAGTAAGTAAGTGTTGAAGTAAGTAAGTAAGTAAGTAAGTAAGTAAGTAAGTAAGTAAGTAAGTAAGTAAGTAAGTAAGTAAGTAAGTAAGTAAGTAAGTAAGTAAGTAAGTAAGTAAGTAAGTAAGTAAGTAAGTAAGTAAGTAAGTAAGTAAGTAAGTAAGTAAGTAAGTAAGTAAGTAAGTAAGTAAGTAAGTAAGTAAGTAAGTAAGTAAGTAAGTAAGTAAGTAAGTAAGTAAGTAAGTAAGTAAGTAAGTAAGTAAGTAAGTAAGTAAGTAAGTAAGTAAGTAAGTAAGTAAGTAAGTAAGTAAGTAAGTAAGTAAGTAAGTAAGTAAGTAAGTAAGTAAGTAAGTAAGTAAGTAAGTAAGTAAGTAAGTAAGTAAGTAAGTAAGTAAGTAAGTAAGTAAGTAAGTAAGTAAGTAAGTAAGTAAGTAAGTAAGTAAGTAAGTAAGTAAGTAGGTAACCAGTTAAATACTAGTTGGTACATTGGATTCTAACCTTTCCTTATTTTTTTTTCAAGATAGAAAAGTATTGATTTCAACAAGAATTCAGCAAATTTATCATTTTAATTTTATTTCCACATAACAACTACAAAGATATCTATATGGTAACTCATTTTAAAATCAATACTCAATCATCATAGTTTTTTTGTGTAAAGTTTATCTATCATATAGTAACTATATTCAAGCTATTGATACCATCTATCATTTGTTTAAAATCATTATTGAATTGTTTCTCCATATTTTGAATTAGATCATTGACATTTTTTGAATCTAATCAATATTGAATTAAACAATCAAACAAACAAAATTAAATTCACCAATTTCAAATTGAAAAAGATCATGTAAATCATTGAGAGTAATTGAACCAACTTTTTCAGCGGGAATTTCACTATTTAAATTTAAAACTGGAAAATTATTCTAAAAAAAAAGAAAAAAATTATTTTTTCAATGAAATTTATTCTTTTTATTTTATTTTATTTTTTTAATTTATTTTTTGAGTTATCACTAACTTTGGTGGAGTTTTGTTCTCTGAGCTGGATGGTTTGGTCGTGGAGCTCCACGACCAAACCATCCAGCTCAGAGAACAAAACTAAACCAAAATCATCCACTTGAGATACAAATCTTCTCCACCATCTCGTTATCACTAACTATATTATAAGATTGTAGAAATTCATGTAGATCTTTTGGAAACCAGCTTTGATTCATTTGGATTTGATGAAATGTTTTATAGAAATCAATGAAAAACTTTGTTTCTTCGTTTTCTTTTTCTTCTTCTTCTTCTTCGTCATTTTCATCGACATTCGTATTTTCTTTCTGTCTTTTGGTAATTGGTAATTTGTTCAATTCATATATGAAATGTTTCCTAAACATAATTGAGAAAAGATAATTGTTCATTTGTTGTTGCTGCCGTTTTGACTTTTAATATAAATTCATAGAAAATTCTTAACAGTGTAAGGTTATGGAGATTGATCTCAATCAAAAACTTAATAATCTTCACAACTCTATACTGATAATAACTATGTGCTCACTAGTGACTGGATTCGTGAAGGAATTCTCAGAGTTCGAGTAAGAAGCTGTGACCAGTGAAGATCATCCGTGTCGGGTAGAAACAGGCATCTACCTCAATATAATGAAATACGGTCGCGCAATTACGTGGATTACTTGAAGTTAGACATCAACATCATTGAATGCAGGCCGGCTCAATAGTCTAGTGGTTAAGTGTTCACGCGCAAAACTAACAGGTCCTCGATTCGAAACTCGTGACACGGCACTGTGGATGCGCATTGTTGAGGAGTCTCACAGTAGGACGAAACGGCCATCTAATGCTTTCAGGTTGTCCATGGTGATCTAGCTTCAACCAACTCATGATCTCAACTATTACAATTACAATAATAAATTTGTCATCAAAGATAAAAATCTGTAAGCCTGTTGGTGATTACTTTTTTTCTTTTTTATAATTTCTACAACGTGAGTAAATCAAATAAATTCACTTTAAAAAATCAATATTTCTCTTTTTCTCTCATTATTCTTGTGTATTGTTTTCTAGTTAGATTACATATGTATGTATATACATGTTTTGCTTACATCATCATTATTTCAGTAATGGTGAACATGATTATAGTTTCCATGAAAAAGATTAGAAAATGTTTTGAATGTTTAATCAATCACTAAGTGATCATTAAATGATATTAATCGATTCGCACTGCTGAGGAGTCCCACAATAGGATGAAACCGCCGTCCAATGCTTCTAAGTTTTCCATAGTGGTCTATCTTTAATTGACTCATCTCAACTATTAGAAAACTACTATAATATTTACGAAACCCCTTCTGATATTAATTTTCATTCAGTTAATGTAGATTAAGTATTTTTATTATGTACAGATGTTAAAAATTAGTAAACATTATCAATTTGGATAGACAAATAACATCATGTAGTTGTTGACTGGGCCTTAGATAAACAATCGAAATCTAGTGAAAGTTTTCAAAGTTTATCACTTTTGTCAACCCGAAGTTGTTAAATGAATTGACATATAATGAAGTTAAGAAAACTGTTAAAATTTGTAACAATCTACATCATGAAGTTATTATGGTTAGAAAACCATTGAAAATCAAAACAAACTGAACAGTTATGATGTAGAGTTACAAAATTGACATTTATAAATCTTACTCAAAATTAGAAAATTTACTATTAAATATTGCACAATTGAAGTGATTTCAGCTAAACAACTAAAAAATTTAAGAATCACCAGATCACTGAGTTGCGATCTAGTGATTCGAATTACTGAGTGAGATCTCCGGTATAGTCATGGATGTGCATGAATATCTAGTCTTAAAATAGAACATAACGACTTCCTGTCGCTGCTTGATTTCAAACGATTTTATAGCTTAAATCGGTTGATATTGTAAACTGTCTTAGGATTAGACAATTTTGGTAAATATGTATGATAATATATTAATAAAACTAGTAAAACTACTTTGAAAAAGTGGGAAAATGATTAAAAGCAAACATGAACTAATTTGAAGCGATAAGTTAACACGACAGGAAGGTGTATCAGTTTTAAATCGAAAAGTTACGATCCTATGAGCACGTCAGGTTGAATGAGAATATTTTAGATGTACAATTTAGTTTTATTAATATATATCTCATTTAATTTTTAACCTAATATATTCATATACATGTACGTATTACGGCTATTTTTACCGTCAAATAGTATCTATCTTTATATGCCCTTTTAGATCATGTGTGACGCCATAGGTGTGGAATCTTATCACCTGCTTCTACTTTCGGAATACATGAAGGAAAGATACTTTGTCAATATGGGATGCTTTCTTTCTCAGTGAAAAGCCAATCAAGACCTTTCTTGTGTTAAAACGCATTGGATAAATTTGTTGTCATACCCGGAAGTAATTAATGACTTCTTTATTCATATCACTAGTAAGTTAACATCGGGGACTTTTAGGTTTATAGAACCACGCTACTATGCTATGCCACTAAACGATCCCGTGGAGCGAACTCAAACTAGCCAATGAAAAATCTTCAGCATATTTACAGCTGTAGATATTCTTAAATAAAAAGCAGAAATCAAATAACCGATGAGATTTCCCATTGAGTTTTGGTAACTAAATCAACTTATCATAACCAACCTCAATCAAGGTTTTAAGGTTTCGTAGTTTATTTTTCTTACTAAACGAAGCATAACTATGAAGTAAATAAAATTTCCAACAAATTATGCTTTTGAATCTACATAATTTCAACGCACTGGACAATATTGTCGGAGAAACGGCAAAAATCTTGATACATAAAAGGTAATAAGGTTGCTTAAATGATTTGTCTGTCATCTCTCATGACTTTTCAACATTTAAGGTTTGCCAACCCATTAAAATTTACATTTTAAGGCTGTTAATGGAATCTCCTCACACAGTGTTGTTTTTCTGATGGACACAACCGTTCGAGTTGTCTCTGAGTATCCAACTTACACAGTCGGTCCGACAGAGGTACTTCTGAAGTTCTAGAAAAAAAATTCTAACTCAGAATAAATTGCCATGCAATCTAAAAGCGAATCATGCACTCAATTTAGAGTGACTCGCGTTCTAGTTGCTCGTCCCCTTCTGAATGGATCACAGGCTAAGACAATATATCCTTAGCTTATGTAGTGTTTTTGACTTTAGTATAATCTTTCAGAAGCTTATTTATTCTACGACCTAACCAAAGCACACTGGACTTGTGATTTATAAGAATTAGGAACAAGATAAGAAACTTTCTAGTTGGCAGTAAGCAAAATGGTTAAAGTTATCAAAGTACCACTTTAGTTGGACCACGTTAAACATGAGGTTTAATTTTCGTCATAATTGGGAATTTATCCGAAAGTACGGATTGATGATGTCACAGATATTCAGTGTTTGACAACGCTTCTACCAGTAACACCTTCTAATATATTTCGTTCCCGCCCAGAGAAATCAAAAGACAGAGTCGAGGAGATCGGAAGAGTATATTTGGCGATGACCAATATATCGGAATTCTCTGATCTAATCTGGCTAGCGATTGCGGTTGATGTTGAGCACGGCGTTACCACACGTGATCTGGTGCAGATGCCTGACCGAGCGCCTTCAGCTAGGTGAGTCCACTAAAACATATGGTCAGCATCCAATGTCGAAAACTTAGTGCTATTTATTTTGGGGATTTATTTACCGCTACAGATCACTCCCCCCCTAGTGGGGCAGTGACGACCCTAAGACGTGGCCAGCCAGAAGTTTAAACCCAACGAGTTTGTCGTTGGTAAACACTCTTCTGATAGCTTACTAAATTTAGCAGCGTCTGGTCGTCTTTCCTTACTATATGGGACGGAGGTACAACATAGTAAAAAAAGAAAATGTACAATGAAAATTTCGGATCCTCATAAACGTCATCGTTCTTTTCCAGCCGTCCTGGAAAAGAAAAAAGAAAATGTAAGTGCATGTCGAAATACACTCGTATGTGCGTAAAAGCACAATGTCGGCGGAAAAAAATGGAAAATAAACTCATGAACACGTAATAGCGTTAAAAAAATTGTTTTTTTGTTTTGTTTTTTTTTTTTAAATAGAAATAAAAATATATAAGCATATTAAAATTGTTTTTTTTTTTAAAAAATAATATAAAATGTCGAGAAGTGCCTTACGTGCAATAGTCGTTTAGATGTTCTGGAAATCTCACCCTTCTTCCAGAACGCGTCGTTTTAAGTTTATTTTCGGATACTGTCGAAGTATCATCGTGTGTGTTGGTTGTCGGATGAGGTATTATAAGTGTCGGAGTCGTGTCGTTCGATTGTACCGAAGGAAAATCCACGTAGATAGGATTTCCTTCTAAATACGCTGCTTTTAAGCGATCGATACTGATGCTATCGTTGGTTCCGTTCTTATCGACTATATAGTACTTAGATTCACGTTGAAGAACTTTGAAGGGTCCTTCGTATGCTGATTCGAAGGGTCGTCGATGCGAGTCTCGACGAACGAAAACGTGTGTACTATATCGTAAGTCAGGTTGAACGAAAACATCAGTTGATTGAGGTCGGGTGGAAGCAGGTTTAACTGAACGCATTGCGTTTGTAAGCCTGTTCGTGTAGGAGGTTAGATCCATGTTCATTGAAGAGGATGAAGGATCCACGAATTCTCCTGGAAGTCGAAGTGTCGTACCATAAACGAGTTGAGACGCAGTGTATCCAATGTCAGCTTTCACTGCATTGCGGATACCTAGTAAGACGAGTGGGAGAGCGTCGGTCCACTGTGAAACGTTTGCAGCTGATAGCGAAGCTTTCAGTTGTCGGTGAAAACGTTCTACCAACCCGTTTGCTTGTGGATGGTAGGCGGTCGTTCGGAAGCGAGTGCTTCCTAAAAGAGTGGTCAGACGACGGAAAAGATCAGATTCAAATTGACGTCCGCGGTCTGTAGTAATGGTTGAAGGGCAGCCGAAGTTTGCTACCCATCGTTCGACGAAGGTGCGAGCCACTGTTTCAGCAGTGATGTCCTTGATAGGTACTGCTTCTGGCCATCGAGTGAAACGGTCTACGCAGGTTAAGAGATAAGAGTATCCATTTGCTGTCCTTTTTAGGGACCATGTGCAACGGAGATGCATATGGGCTACTTGACGGTCGTATGATTCCTAAGTCCATCATGTGATCGAATTCGTTTTTCGCTAACCTTAGCTTTTCAGGAGCTAGTCGTCGTGCTTTAGAGAATACAGGTGGTCCTGTAGTCGTGATGTGATGTGTAACATTGCTGGTTACACACGGTAGTTTCGGTTGAGTTTGTTGTATCCCAGGGTACTTATCGAGTAGTGGTTGATAGAGTGGGTCTATCATATGTTTAACTGTGACTGGGGATACTCTACAACCAGTAAAAGAAGTTACGCAAACGGACAAATTAGTGTTACCGTCTACTAGCCTCCGTTTGCGCGTGTCGATGATCA